CATAATTTCGAATAAAATTACAAGGGCACATATCTTTTGACCTAGTTATTTTTCTCCTGGGAATGATTTCCTACAAATATAACCAAATGTGTGAAATGATGAATGTTCAGAGTCACTGTGTCAATGTTTTTAATAGCAAATATTGAAAACAACTTAAATGAAGTAACTTAAATGTCCATCAATAGGGAACCAGTGAAATATAGACATAATTTAATACTATGCATTCTCAAAAAAGAATGAAAAACATTATGTATTGATAAAAAATGAGCTCCATAACATTGTTAACTGAAAGGGGCAAGTGTTATTGCATGCTCAAGTTTGAATTTTATATATAATTATGTGTATTTTGTGTCCACACATATATTCATTACTTTTAGAAAGTATTTCTGAAAGGAAATAAAAATTGATAACATTGGCAGTCTCAGGAAAGGAGAACTTGGTGGCAGAGGTTCAGGGGCAGGGTGGATATTTTTATTCCAAAAGAACTCCACGGATGTTTCCCACATCAGCAGCATCATTTATATAAGTGTATATCCTTGTTCCATAGACAAGACTCATTTGAGTGCCTAAATGGAGTCGAAAAATACATGTCACTGTCCAGTCTTATTTCCCGTAGAAGAAGCATCCTTTAGAATAAAAAATCTGCATCTAAAAGCCATATCTGCATGTGCAGTTTAAAGTTAATATGTGCATGGCCTTTTTACACCAAGCCTGTGAAACAGTATCTTCAGTTTTCAGAAATAATCAGCATTAATTTAGTCTGTTGCTAATTTCAGTTCTTTCTCATCAAGCACATTATGAGTGAAGAAAAACTGCTGCCACCTGTGACCTCATTCAGCAATGAATGAATTAATCAATTTCTTACTATGAAGACATTTCTTTTTTTATTCACCATGGATATTTTCTAAGAGCATAAAGGATTGAGCCCATAACCTGGGCATGTGCTCTGACCAGGAATCAAACTGTGACCTCCTGGTTCATAGGTGGATGCTCAACCACTGAGACGTGCCAGCAGGGTCATCCAATTTTTTAAAAAATTTCCTCCTGTCCCTCTCCTCATCTTCCTTCTCTCCTGTTCTCTTTTCCTTCCTTTTTTCTTTCAGCACTAGTTTCCTAAAGAGACCATCTATTTAAAATCCATAGAGTGAAGAACACCCTGTGGTCAAAAACCTCAAATGACTATAATTAAGAAAGTTTTCATCTAAAAAGATCTGAAAACTAGTGATGGTTTTTGCTCTACTTAACATTCTTCCAGTATGTCAAATGGCGGGTTGGTGCAAATCATTGGCTCTGGATCCTAGTGCTTATATGCATTCTGATCAGATTGGAGACCAAACTTTTGCTTAAACTAAGTTGAAAATAGTCATATAGTTTTATAGTGACAGACCATTAGAAATGAAAGGAGGATTGGACAAAATCTAGGTCAGTCTCTTTGTTTTACATATGAAATTAAGGTTGAAGGACACTAAGTGATTTCCCAAAGGTCACATAACTTACTGTCAGAGTAAAATCTGATTTTTTTTTTTTTTTTTTTCACCATAGCACATTTCAGCAGGAAGAAAAAACCCTCCAGGAAAAGTTATCTTACTCTTTTTGTTCCTTACCTATGCTTGTCCCCTACCTGTAGTAACCAATGTTTATTAATAAATCACCTTCTTCAGGTTACTAAGAACTTGGAAACAAAATTAAATTGCCCTCTTAAGAGTTAATTGATATTAACCAGCATTGGTCTCCTTAACTGCTGAAATTTTTCCTTGAGCTATTGAAAAGTATCTTTCACGTTGGTGGTAAAATTGTATTCATGTGGGCTATATTAATAGGCACATTAAGTCACATGCTAATGCTGTGACATTGGCCAAATAGATCAACATATCTTCAGATAAAAAGGATTTCAACAGAAGAGTTTGGACTGCAAATAAAAATAGGAGCAGGAGAGTCAATGTAGAAGCTGACCTGCAGCCTGCTCAGAGCAGGAGAGAAGGGAGCTTAGCCAGGGCTTGGAGAATTTCATTCCATTGTCAAGGTTCTACCTTAGGGAAAGGGTGCTCCTTTCTTGAATTTTCTTGGCTTCCTGGTTTTCTTCTGACCTCTCAGAACACTCACTCTTCATCTACTTGCTCCTTCCTGCTCTCCCATCTGACTTCTAAATGAAAGATTTGCTGAGACTTCATCATTGTCTTCTCACTCAATATGTGTCCCAAGATTATCTCATTCATGCTGCTGAACTCCCCGATTCATCAGCCTATCCCAGATCTCTTTTCTGACTGAAATATCTATCACATATCTATCATCTAGCTATCATCTATCTGTCTATCTATCATCTATCTATCTATCTATCTATCTATCTATCTATCTATCTATCTATCTATCTATCTATCATCATCTATCATCTATCTATCTATCTATCTATCTATCTATCTATCTATCTATCTATCTATCTATCTATCTATCTATCATCTATCTATCATCTATCTATCTATCTATCTATCTATCTATCTATCTATCTATCATCTATCTATCTATCATCTATCTATCTATCTATCTATCTATCTATCTATCTATCTATCTATCTATCATCTATCTATCATCTATCTATCTATCTATCTATCTATCTATCTATCTATCTATCATCTATCTATCTATCATCTATCTATCTATCTATCTATCTATCTATCTATCTATCTATCTATCTATCATCTATCTATCATCTATCTATCTATCTATCTATCTATCTATCTATCTATCTATCATCTATCTATCTATCATCTATCTATCTATCTATCTATCTATCTATCTATCTATCTATCTATCTATCATCTATCTATCATCTATCTATCTATCTATCTATCTATCTATCTATCTATCTATCATCTATCTATCTATCATCTATCTATCTATCTATCTATCTATCTATCTATCTATCTATCTATCTATCATCTATCTATCATCTATCTATCTATCTATCTATCTATCTATCTATCTATCTATCATCTATCTATCTATCATCTATCTATCTATCTATCTATCTATCTATCTATCTATCTATCTATCTATCTATCATCTATCTATCATCTATCATCTATCACCATCATCTATCTATCATCTATCATCTATCTATCTATCATCTATCTATCTATCATCATCTAACCTATCTCATCTATCATCTATCTAAATGCCCACATAGATATCACAAGATTATCGTAAACATGTCCAAAATTGTGTTCTTGATCTCTCAATCTGCTCCTCCTTTAGATTTCTCCAGCTCAGAAAGTGAGAGCTCCACTGCCCCGTTGCTCACATCAGAAATTTGGCTGTCATCCTTGAAACCTTCCTCTTTTCCTTTCAATCTCTCACCAAATTACATTTTTACCTCTTAAATACTTAAGTGCTGTTGAAGCCAACAGCTGCTCTTTGTCTTCACTACCACAGTCTTGGTCTATGCCAGTCTCTTTTTCACCTGGAAGATTATGATCGTTTCCTAATCAGTCTCCCCCATGCATTTATTCTTTCACTTCAATCTACGTAGCAAGTGAGCATTTAAAAATACTGATTGCATCAGGCCATCTCCCTGCTTAAAACACATCAATGCCCCTGCTTCCCTCTTCATCTTCGGCTTGTACCTCTGCCCTTCTCTCAGTACAACCCCACCCCAATGGCTGCCTTCCTCCTATGGACTGAGGGTCTCCAGCCCAAGATCCTTCAGACATTTTATTCTTTCTGCTTGGAATTATTTTTGCCCCACAACCCTTCTCTTCCCCGTCTCTCCCAACTTCTACTAATTCTCTAGTTTATTTTTAAATGTCAGATCTCAGAAGGGCATCTCCTTATCTATAAAATCTGATTTAAGAATACCTTGATATTCTCTTGTATAGCTTCTTATGTTTTCTTTCAAATCACTAATTTCAATATATAACTATAAATGCATTTGTGTTACTATTTCTGTCTTCCAACATGGCTATTTCACTTCTCTGTTCAGCAATCAGAACAATTCCTGGCAAGTAGTAGACAGTATTTGTTGAATGACAATGAATGACTTTTGTTAGTTGAAAAGATTTTTATAGTCTAAATTTCTTTTTTGTTTACTCTGTTCTAGCCAATGCACTCTTTTGGTTATGATTTGTCTTCCCACATAGATTGATAACTAGGAGAGAATGCATTGATTATTCAGGTGAAAGATATGTTTTCATTTTAAAATTGATGTTTACAACACCCTTTCATTATAAAACAAACACATACACACACAATTAGGAACAGAAGAAAATTATCTCAACATAGTAAAATTCATATATTAAAAACCCACAGCAGACATTATATTCAATGGTGAAAGACTGACAACTTTTCCTCTAAAATCAGGAACATGACAAGGATGTCTGCTTTCACCACTTCTATGCAATGTAGTACTGGAAGTTCTAGCCAGAGCAGCTAGTCAAGAAAAATAAATAAAAGGCATCCAAATGAGAAAGGAAAAAGTAAAATAATATGTTTGCAGAGTATATGACCTTATTTGTAAAAAACCCTAAAAATTCCACACACAAAAAAAAATCTGTTAGAAATAATACATGAATTCAGCAAAGTTGCACGATATAGTAAACACACAAAAATCAGTTGCATTTTGCCTTAGCCAGTGTGGCTCAGTTGGTTGGAGTGTCATCTCTTGCACCAGAGGGTGGTGGGTTCAATTTTCAGTTAGGGCACATAACCAGGTTGTAGGTTCGATCTCTGGTAGGGAAGCGTGCAGGAGACAACTGATCAATGTTTCTCTCTCACATCGATGCTTCTTTCTCTCTCTCCCTCTCTCCCATCCTCTCTCTAAAATCAATTAAAAAATCAATTGCATTTTTATACATTAACAATGAAAAATCTGAAATAAAAAATTACAAAACAATTCTATTTAGAATAGCATCAAGTATACTTAGAAATTAACTTAATCAAGTAGGTGAAAGACTTGTACAATGAAAATTACAAAACTTTGCTCAAAAAAATTAAAGAAGACAAAAATAAATGGAAATACATCCTATGTTCATAGATTGGAAGGGCCAAAAAGAAAAAGTAACATCTCATTCTAGTGAAATACATATAGTGAATTATAGAATAAGGCACCTAGAGTAGCAAACTTGGTTTTCTGTTTTTGTTTCTTTGTTTACTATTTTTCCTGCCTATAACCCCCTCCAACTCCCTCCACCAGCTAGAGTAGCAAAGTTTTTTACAGTTGGAAGTTAGGAAGGAGGCTATTCTCTGTAATGGTGTATTTTATAAGTTGTCTCCTTGATTTTATGTTATCTTCTTAATATTTCTTCCTCCAAATATAAGCCTTTCAGCATACATAGCATTGTGGATATTGAAAATATTTAGAGTTGGGGAATATCTGCAAATGACAGAAGTTACCAGAGAATATAAGATTTTAAGTTTGTGGAGCTCTGAAACAATATGTAGAAAACAATATGTAGTAAGAAAGCATACACCACTATTTCCAATTCAAAATACTTAACAATTTTTAATGTGTTCCTTGAATTGAGTAGTGTAGAAAAAAATGTAAGTTCTGAGTGCTGACTTTATTTTTCAGGGCTCAGAAATTAATGTTTATGTGAAACAGGTACATAATAATAACACACTATGGAACTGGAACAGATAACATCAAACTTGAATTAGTTTATAGGCAAAAAACCTGAAACTGTTAAAAAAAAAAAATTTCTTGTGTAAGAAAAAATCCAATTAATTTTCAGACATTTCCTAAGCATTTTGGTAAAGAGGGTTTTTATTCTCTTCATAGTGTTTTCCTCTTTGAAAAACTTAGTTTCATTTGTATGTTTTCCATGTTTTCTTTCCTATATTAAAATGACTATACTTTAAAAACCCATTATTACTTATTGGCGATATAAATAATTTTGTGCTTTTCAATCACACCAATGTCATGTTCCAGTTGCTTCATTTCTTCTTCCAGCCTCTGCTTGCGGATCTTCTTTGGTAAGGAATCAATGAAGACTGAGAGGGACTGGAACTCTTTATGTACCTCTTCCCAGTTCTTTTTCAGACCCTGCAAACAGTAAAAAAAACTGTAAATACTCAAAGTAAACTTCAAAAGTAAATTGTAAATTAAAGTAAATGGTAAAACAAAACAAAACTGTACTGGTAAGGAAAATATAAATAGCTAAAAAAACAACTGACAAAAATGGCTTTTGAAATGATATGTATTTATCAAGTACTTAGCCACAGTAACAAAAAATATTGTACAGAGGCCAAACCCTGTCCTGACTGTGTGTTCAGTTTCCGTTGGGAGTATTTATTTGCTCTGTTTTTAATGTTACTGTACTTGTTTTTACCATCAAATATGCATATGTAGAGTTATGAGTAGTATAAAATTAGGCCCACGGTAAATGCTTTGGTAAAAACAACAACTTAGAATTGATATTCTCAGACAGAAAAAAAAATGTTTGAACAGGAAATTATTTTTTATAAAAATTTTATTTTTTTTCCTTAGGATTTTCTTTTCAAACTATCATCCCCACTCTTCAACAGAGCCATCACATCAAAAGACTTGATTCTGACTTGCGTGGCCATATTTTCTTATACCTGACTAAATGGAATTGTACAAAATGCCAAAATTAAATTTCACCAGAGATTATCTTTTATGTCTCTTTTAGTGTATTAGAATTCTTCTTCCATAGAGTCAAGGGATTTATACTTTCCATTAATGTATTCTAGAAATGACTGAAATGTCATTAAATGTAATACACATGCTAATTTAATAATGTAGTTAATTTTTTATATTCTCAGTAACCAACAAATTCAAAATTAGGGATCTCTTAGGAGCAATAAAGGTTATTTCCATCTCTGCATTGTTACAATTTATCACAGTGCACTAGAGGCCCCGCTGACAAAATGGTATTAAACTACTAATTGAATTCATGCAATAAAATTTCGTAAATTAACACTTTCTTTTATTCACTATGGATGCACAAATCATTTTTTTACAAACAAAAAAAGTAAAACTGAAAGTACAATAATAATATTGCCATGATAATATTGTCCTTAAAAACTCGTGGCATACATTCAGGTTTATGAGAAAATTAGAAGTGTCTTATATAATCATGCCTTCATAATAAACCCTTACAATAAAAATTTAATGTCGTAGAGACTTCCCAGGGACAATAAAATTTCAATGACTTATTTCCATGCTTAGGTAAAAAAATGATAGGATAGGGCATACTATATAGAATAGGTTGGTTGAAAGAAAGGATAACAAATTTTGAACCCTTGAGTGAGATTATATCAAGACTTTGGGAGAGGAGAAAGGTAGAAAGAAAAGTATCCAGGTTAAAGTTTTAAGAGGGGGATGGTTTAACACAATTCTTAATAGTACATGAGCTATATTCCAAAAAGAAGTCCTCATAGAAATCTTATTATCCTATCATCTTTCATTATGGGACAGGAAATATGGTTCCATGGTGCTCCATAGGGGTGTCTATTGCAGAGAGAAAATTTATACACTTCAAATATCAAAGGTTTTTCATTTCAAGTTGGGTGATATTTTTTCAAATTTTTTAATTTGATAATTTTTTAGTTGGATGATTTTCCATATTATTTGTGGTTGTAGCAGCTACACTTTTTCTCTGTATTTCCTTTTAAAGGATAGTTTGCTTTATCTTCCAGTGTGTACAATAATGCCTGGATCAAAGTCAGTAGCCAGGAATGGCCATTAAATGTAACTAATATCTCATATTTTATTAAAATAATCTCTTTGCTGTTTTTTAAGATCTTTCTTATCTCAGCTAAAAAAACCTTTTATCCATTGCAACAATAGTGATTTTCCCTTATTTTTATTTCTAAAATCTTCTCTCCTTTATTTTTATGCTGAAATAAGATTGCTAATTTTGGAAAAACTTCAAATGGGGAGAAACAGTCATAAAATAGTGCCTTCATTCAGTTTCATGCTCCTTTTGTACCCCCCACCCCCAATCCATTCTTCTTGTCTTGCACTGTGACTAGGGGTAGGTGGGGTGGGTTGATTTTTGTGGACTATCCCCACCCTCAGCTCTTTTGTCCTCTAGTATCTGCCAAAGGCAGCATTGATGGGAGAGACAGCTTGGGGCCTTTCTTTCCCATCTCTCTTGACATTACTTGACTCTAGTTCTGGCTGATCCATCTGTGACAACACCTGTCAGGTGACCCGTTTTCTAGGCTCTAGCCCTCACTGGGCTCTGGTGACACAGTTTCTTGCCCTGCCCAAACTTCAGGTGTTGGGGGATTCCCACTGTCCTTAGTCCTGGGTGCCTCAGTTTCTCTGTTGATTCTCTTAGTCCTGCTTCACATCTGTAAATAGTTGCTTCAAAACCCTCTTCAGAGTCCCAGCTGAGCATGCCTTCTATTTCCTGCTGCAGCCCTGACTAATAAAGCTTCCTTTGGTTACTTTCTATGCACGTGTATATAACGCAGTGGGAAAATACTGGACTGGGAATTGGTTGATGTGGATTTTAGTCCCTGTTCAGCTAAGGACTGCATTTGTTATGCTCACTACAGTATCCTCCAGGCTGGGTACAGTGCCTGGAACACAGTAGATGTTCAATAAACGAATCCATGGGTGGATGAACAAATGAGCCCACTTAACACTTTATATCCTTATCTGAAAATGAGAAGTTTGGGATTGTTAGTCCAGATGAGCTCTTCCAGGTGTAATGAGACTGTTATTTTATGAAGAATGAGCAGAAGAACATGGCCTGCTCAGGGACATACAACCAGGTTGTCACAGAACTATGTGCAACTCTTAACAAGGGAGGGAAGCATGGTTCAGGGCTTGTCAGGAGCATAGCTTGTGGCTTTGTTACCACAGTGACTACACTACTACATTACCTGGATAATAAGGCATCTGATGGAGGATCTGCTATTGTCACTCAAGGGGTATGCGGAGAAACTCTGTAATGACTAGATTACGAAGCTGAGGGCAGTTTATCCACTACAGCTAAAAAGGTGCAGGAGAGGAGAGCCTTTCCCTTCTGAGGTAAGTTCTTTTTCTCTTTCCCTACTTTTCATTTTCATTTAGATATAAAAATCTGGCTTTCACAAAAGCATGTATTTTCTAAAAATGGTAAAATCCAAACGAGAGAGAGGGAGAGAGAGGGAGAGAGATAAACGAGAGAGAGAAATGGGCCAAAAACCAGTACTCTTCTTGAAAGTGACATGAAAGCCCCACCTCCAGGTCTGCCAGTCTCCTGCCAGCCTGTCTTCCTTTCTTCTTTCCAGGACACAATTATGAAACACCTAAGTTCATGCTGGGCAGTGGGTTAGGTACTGGGGAGACTGCTGTCAACCAAGAGACACAGTAGTACAGTCTCTGCTCTTAGGCCACTCCTTGGATCCACTCTCACTCTTCAGTTTAATGCCCAGCTAATGACCTACCTATGTCCTTCAATGGACACTGTGCCTTGGAACCTTATAAAACTTAGGATCTACACACACATACACACACACACACACACGCAAAATTTAATTCATTAAATGACAACATTCCTACAGCAGAAATTTTCATATATCCTTCTTAATATCCTCAGGGCTTAGCATGATACTCTATGTGAAATAGTCATTTAAAAAATGTTTAGTGACATTCCAAGAGGGAGGTGGATTGAATGGAAGCTGCACTGACACTCTCCCAGGACCAAGCTGGAATTACAACTAAAATAGAGAAAAACAACCCTGAATAACCAACAGGAGACTAGCTGGAGAGCTCCCTCATAACCAAGGACCTAAAGCAGAGACCGTATAGAGATTGGTAGGAAGTGCAGAGGTGGGAGAGGGCTAGCTGGGCTCCCATAGGCAGCAGCTGAACGTGTGGGGGGCTCCCACTGAGAACTCTGGGGCCTAAACCCCAAGCTGGGTATCCTAGCCCAGAGCACCAGAACTGAGAAAGGTGCCCACATAAAATCTGGCTGTGAAAAGTAGCAGGGTTTCTGGCTGCCTGGGAGAGATGGCTGGAAATGCAGGCACCCTCTTAAAGTTTTGTGTGCAGCCACTCACCTTGGGCTCTGGCAGAGGGAGGACAGAGTGGACTAGAGCAATGTGAGAAGAATCTGGGGTTTTGGGCTCTGGAGACGGAGCTCACAGGGCGGCCATCTGGATTCCTCTACTGAGTCATTCCCCCATACTTCAGAGGACATCTTTCACAGGCAGACCTTTGCCAGCCAGGCAGCTTTTGCCTGGGGGGAAAGCAAATGCCCCCCCCCCCACCACCACTAGAAAACCTTTCACCCCACTCTGTGGAGTTTATGCCTTGCTGTGGTCCACAGACTGAGGCTCATTAAGAGACTAAGATCAATCAGACTGCAAGCAGAGGCACACTTCTGGGAGCTTTGAGTCTTTGCCTGATCTGCTTCTGGACCTGGACCTTGGAAAAGTAAACTTCGGTGTGCATCTTGGTCCTCTCCAAAAGCACCCATCCCCAGCAGAAGGAACAACAAGCCAGCCCAGCAGAGGGAACCACAAGCTGTGGGTTTTTGATATCTCCAAACAGTATACTCAAGGCCAGTCACAAACAGTGTCTGACATTGGCCTTTACCAGAGACCCTCAAAAAAGACAGAATCCTAGCAGATCCACCTAATACATAGAAACAACCCAAATAGGCAGCCAAAATGGGAAGACAAAAAACAAGCCCCAAGTGAAAGAACAAGAGAAGTCTCCACGAAAAGAGCTAAGTGAAATGGAGATAAGCAATCTATCAGCTATGGAGTTCAGAATACTGATTGTAAGGATGCTCAACAGCATGAGAAAAGATAGAAACTATGAAAATGCCCAGTCAGAAATGAAGAATGACATAGCATAAATAAAGAATACATTGGAAGGAATAAACAGCAGATTAGAGGAAGCTGAGGATCGGATCAGCGAATTAGAAGACAGAGTAGAAAAAAATCACTCAATCAGAGATCCAAAAAGAAAAAACAACTAAAAAACAGGAGGACAGTCTAAGGGAGCTATGGGAAATGTAACTTGAAATGTAACAATATTCACATTATAGGAGTACAGAAGGGGAAGAGAATAAGCAAGGGATAGAGAATCTGAGGAAGTAATGTCAGAAAACTTCCCTAACCTGATCAAAGAAAAAGCCATATAAGTTCAGGAGGCACAGAGAGTCCCAAGCAAGAAGAACCCAAAGAGGCCCACTCCCAGACACATCATAATTAAAATACCAAAAATTCAATACAAAGAGAATCTTAAAGGCAGCAAGAGAAAAGCAATCTGTTACCTACAAAGGAGCTCCCATACGGCTGTCAGCTGATTTCTCATCAGAAACTCTTCAGGCCAGAAGGGAATGGCATGAAGTATTCAAGATAATGCAAAACAAAGATCTGAAGCCAAGACTACTCTATCCAGCATCAAGGCTATCACTCAAGATAGATGATGAAATAAAGAGTTTCCCAGACAAAAAAAGGCTAAAGGGGTTTATCACAACCAAACCAGCATTGCAAGACATGTTAAAGGTACTGCTGTAATAATAAGAAATGGAGAGAGAAACATAGGCATAAAGAATTAAAATGGCAATAAGTAAGGTCCTATCAATAATAACTTTAAGGACTTTAAGGGAGAGATCAACATACAATCACAGCTGTGGACTTGAACACTGCACTGACTTCACTGGATAGATCTTTCAGACAAAAAGTCAATGCAGAAACAGTGACTCTAAATGGCACACTAGATGAGATGGATTTAATTGACATTTACAGAACATTTCACTCCCAAGCTACAGAATATGCATTCCTCTCAAGTGCACATGGGTCATGCTCCAAGATAGAGCACGTTAGGACAAAAAACAAGTCTGTACAAGTTCAAGATTGAAATCATATCAAGCATCTCAGATCACAATGGTATGAAATTAGAAATCAACTACAGTAAAAACACTCAAAAACATTCAAACACACAGAGGCTAAATAGCAAGTTATTAAGCAATGAATGGGTTACCAATAAGATCAAGAAAGAAATTAAAAACTTCTGGAAACAAATGAAAATGAACACAAAACAACCCAAAATCTATGGGACACAGCGAAAGCAGTCCTGAGAGTAAGTTCAAAGCACTACAGGCTTACCTCAAAAAGCAAGAAAAAATTTTAATAACCTATCTAACCTTACAACCTAAAGAATTAGAAAACTCCCTTGTGAAGCCTTCTGGACAGGGGCATTTTTTTTGCTGGGATTTTTTTTTTATTGCTGCTATTCAGGTTTTCTGATTCTTCCTGATTCAGTTTTACATGATCTCACTCATATGTGGAATCTAATAAACAAAATAGACTGAGGAACAAAATAGATCCAGAGACACAGAAGCATGGAACAGACTGATGAATCTCAGTGGGATGGCGGGGGTGGGGGAGTGGGTGGGGAGAGATTAATCAAAGAACTTATATGCATATATGCATAACCCATGGACACAGATGACAGTGTGGTGAAAGCCTGGGGGGGGGGCGGATGCAGGGTGGAGGAGATCAAAAGGGGGACAAAAAGGGGATATCTAATACTTTCAACAATAAAGATAAATTTAAAAAAATGCTTATTGATTATTATAGCACTGATAAAGGTTAAGAATTTATAATGCATATGGATCCATTTCGCCACAGAAATTAATATGGTAAGAAATTTTTTTTTTTCTGTTTTAAAGAGGTCACTAGAAATGGCTTTGTAGAAAGCTTTCAAAAGTAATGGGTAAGTTCTATTTTTACTTCCGTAAGAGATAGTGTGACTATAGAAAAATACAAGTAGGTACTTAGTAAATATAACCCTGCTCACATTCCCAATATTTTAAATGCTTCAGATAAAATCTTGCATTAAATATTCCAATGTAAATATTTTATTTGTTTACTTTTTCAAAATAAGAAAGATACATATAAAACCTAACACCTGGTTACTTTGAAATTTGAACATCTGTCTTATAGGAAAGAAAAAAAATTGGTCTAGGAAGAGTTTCAATTATTCTAGAGCTCCATCTAGTGAAAAATATCTATTTTATGAGTATTATTTTTTAAAAATTCAGGAACATGAAAATAAAAATGAAAATGCTTTTTCTTTTATGTATGCATGTTTGTTGAAGGAGAAGGTGTGGTTCCTTACAATAGTAACTACTTCAGGAAAAAACAGAAACTCACCAAATTGGAAACAAATAATAATCCCAGTATTACAATGTTTTGTTTTCCCCAAAGAGTCATCTTTGCTGCAAGTAGCTGTCACCATAACCAAAAGAGAGTCATTGGATTTCAAGGCCCAAGTGCTGGTTTCATTAATCGTTGATGGCAGACTTTTCGTTAAGAGATGTTCTAGAGAGTTACACAGAATAGAAATGACAGAGCACTTACCTGCAGCACTGCTTCCCTTTCTTCATCAGACAGCCTTTTCATAGCTGCTTTCCTAAGGCTTTCCTGGATATAGTTATCATACTCTTCCTGGGCATTTTTTACTTCCTCATTTCGCTTACATATATATTTAGGCGTGACACCATAATCCTTACAAGGAATTTTGAGAGAGGGAAAAAAAAAATCAATATCCCGAGTGTACTCTTATATACATGTACATACCAACCAATGACTGGGAGAAAAAGAAATGTTACGGATATAAAGCCTTTACTTAAAACACTGCGAACTGACAAAATTCAGTGACTTCCCCCCACCTGGGAACTAGTTGATTCTGGTCTTTTAAAACCATTTGGGCTGTTATTTGCGGCAGTTTGTTTTCCTCCTTGGGAATGTTTCCAGTGCCTGCTTCTGGCTGATGACTCAGCCCTTACTTTCCCCCTAAGAGCTGGCTTTTCTTTATTTATTGTACTGCTTCAGCTTTTACCCTGAAATATCTTAAACATCATGAGATCTCTTTTGCAAGGACTTGTTAAATAAAAGAAGATACTTACTTCCAAGGCATTATAAAAACCAACTCTCACAAGATACAAAGCACATCTGCATTAAGAGAAAACTGACTTGGGACCCTAAGGAGTTTAGAGAAATGCAAAATCCTGGGCTGCTTACAAGTACTGACAGTGAAGTAATCAGCCATGATTCTTCCAGATTAGTGAATGTGTATGATAGATACCACTGTTGAGAAACAGTACTTATTTATTCTTCAAAATATTATTTGTACTTTGTGCTAGATATATTGGTGAATAAGAAAGGCAAAGTTTCTGTTCTCATGGAATGTGCATTCTAATGTGAGAGAAACTCAGCAAAAAAAAATACTGTGTGTGTATGTGTGTGTGTGTTCCAAGGTAAAATAAAAGCCAATAAGGGGAAAGAAAGAATAGGAGCTATTTTAGATAAATAACAAAATCAGGGAAGACCTCTCTCAGGAAACAGTGGTTGAGAGAGATGGTAGTCATTAAAACTATTCACAAATATTCTGGTTCTTTCTTCGGGCACTTGGTAGTACAACACTTTCCTGCTCTCTTTGAAGTAAGATGTAGCCATGCCACTTGACTTGCCTATTGTCAGTGGAAGTGACCTCTACCTTTTGGGTAGAAGCCTTAGGAATTAATGGATGGTTTGCCATGTTCTTTTTCTGTCTGGTATAGTGATGGGAGGTGTTTTGGGTTGCCTGGGGCATGAAATGAGGACAAGAAGCAGAGCTTTCAACAACCCTCAATGAAAATGTGACACAAGCAAACAATAAAACTTAGTTGCTTTTAGTTACTGAAATGTGGGAGTTATTTGTTACCACCACATAACCTAACCCACTCTGCCTGAACAAGGGATAGAAATCCTAGCTGTGAATGTGTTCTGGAAAGTTGCAAAGCACTCTACAAATAATCTCTAAGAGCACAGTATTCTTGTTAGTTAGTGCAATGGTAAATAGTCCAGTCCATTTCAGGAAACACTGAGGGCAACACCTCATTACAGCTCAATACAATTACTGATGGGCATAATAATGATTTTGCATCATCAAAAAATATTAAATTATATTTGGTATACTCTGTTTAATAAAGGGAATGACATGATACAGTTTAGGAAAAACAACTATCTCACAAATGACTAAAAGCTTCAGTGATCTGAAATATTCCCATGTGTTGGATCATTGAAGGCTAATCGTACTATTGAAAATAATAATTGTATATATTATAATTTCTACTCTTTATTGAATGTTTACTAGGTGCCAGGTATTATGTCAAGTACTTAATATTTTTTTATATCACTTAATCCTAACTCCAACCCTGTGATAAATCTAATAACTTGTTAAAGATCACAGAGTTAAATAAGTGGCAGCGCTAAAATTTGAAATGATGTCTTATTACTATTGCTATGTACGTTAGGAATTACCCATGCTTAGGTTTGTTTTCACAAACTGTTTCTCATGGCACAATGGGCATATAATATTTTATTTGGAAATAAAACGTGAGATTTACTTACTTTTTACAAATGGCATTGCCCTTAAAAGGACTTACTATCTCACTCACCAATAAGAGATTTTTTAAAAAATTTAACTCTGATAAATGGAAAGTAAGTGAGTAAGTCCTTCATGAGCCCTGATTGCTTAGCCAGCAACAAGAGGACAATAATAGTGTAGTGTTTGTATGGCTTGGTAAACAAGCACAGGTAGAGATACTTAATATTTTTCTGTCTCTGTATTGAATTTTTACTTCAATTTTCTGTTCAAGGCAAAAAATACATTGAAGTGGACAGCTAAGGCAGAAGGTAGCCAGAGGGAGGGGCAGACTGTGTGGCAATTGGTGGTATAACTATCAAAGGAGAAGGATTTTTATGTGATGGTAGAGAAATAATGGACTGGAAATAGCTTCACAGGAGAGTGAAATTTCTGCTTTTCCACACCCTATGGGACAAGGGCTATGAGCAGCCTCCAGGAACCACAGATGGAGGAAATATCCCTAGAAGCCTGAAATGACTTAATGGAAGGTGCTGCCACTCCTCGATTCCTGCTAAAGTCTTCCAAAGGGGGCTTAGCCTACATGTGACAGTTTCTCAGGGAACAAGCAGTGTTCTCTGACAACAGCCTTGAGGTTCCTGTTTTGATTTTGAACAGGCACTGGATTTCTCATGGTAGATCACTGGACTGCCTCAACATAAGCCCTTCATACATCATTAATGCAATTTCGTTTCTTTTTTCTCTCTTCCTTTCTTCCTTCTTTCCTATTTGCCACATCTTATTATTATGTATTATTATTCTTTAGGGTTTTGTACTCATATTTTACTGTGTGTGTTTCAGGCATTTTAATGTTCTGTACGTATACAAAGTAAAATAGGTTTTATATAAGGTATTTTTTTGGTAAGTTTTCTAAATTTTAAAGATCTTCTATATTTAAACAATTAAACCCAAGCTTCTATAATTTTCACTGATGAAATATGTTTATCTGATTAGAGTCTTTTCAAATAGAAATGAAGGTCCCAAAAGGACTAGATTACTGCACAGTTCTTTCAACATCTGTTTTACTTCAAACTAAAAGCAAATGAATATATTCAAGTTGAAATAACAATGTGAATTAGTTACACTATACTAATAGGATGGATGGCTCTAAAGCTGTATTATTCTTCATTTTTCTCATTCTGCTTCCTAGACACTGAAACCTAATGACTAAATCAGAGAATCTTCTGAAAGGTTACTCCTTCTAGATTTATAGTAATAACTGTGCTTTTAATGACTGTCCACCTCACCTAAAATTAATATATTTTAGAGAATGTTTATTATAATTATTAATTATATTGAAAGTTAAAATTAAAGAAAAATAATTACAGTTTTCCTCTACTGAACTATATGGTATTCATTCCAAATTCCCTGTCATTTCATCACATTCGATTTACACCAAACACAGATTTCAGGAGAATGAGAATTGGCAATCTAGGTAATTTGTCCAGTGAGAATACTATTACTGATAATATAGATAATTATTATGAACATTATATTTAAATTATTTGCATTTCAGGTCTAAAATTAATATCTCACAAGGTTACCTTTTTATTGATGTACTTTGGCACTAGTCCAGAAGTTTCAAGATCATGCTTGTCTCCAGTTCTTTTGTCAACATAAATTGGTTTAGGCTTTTTAGCCACTCCCATAATGACATCGGCTGCATTTGTATTAATGAAATTTTTTTCACTCTGTACTCCCATGATTGGATGATCAGTCCTCAGTGGCACAGGAGGCTTTTTGGGCTTATCCCGCTCAAACGTTTTTTCTGTTAAACATAACATTTCCTTGTTAATATTAAACTATAAACATTGCTACTCAGTGCTATATAAAACATCCTGATATTTTACCACTAGTATATTGAAATTTTATTAATAATATATCCAAATCTTTAAGGTAAAAAATCAATAATCATAAATGTAAAAATTAAGTTGAATGTAATCAATTAATATCTTGAAGAATAGTATAAAAAACTAAGGAAGAAGATAAGCACCCCAAAGCATATGATAGCTAATATATTTTAACTAGCTATTGTGAAAATATTTTCTTATAAAGATTTCAACAACAAAAGTTCAGCTTTCCCATTGAAAAAAGTTCAAAGAAACATTAAAACTTTTTTCTGAGTTCTATCAATATTACTAATAATTGCTTCTTCAGAGGAAAGTTACTACAAAATCACCACATAAATAAAAAAAAACACTTGATGTATTAAAAGTCCAAGGATCTATGTTTTCCCCCCACTAAAACTACTATTACTATAAGGTATAAAAATCATATAATAGCTATGTACTCAATATACAGCTTAACAAATAAAACATTACCGATATAGTTGAAGTTTCCTATCCACCCCTCCCTGATTACATCTCACCTCCTAAAATAACTACTATCCACAATTTATTTTATTTTTCTATACCAAATTCTCTTCATTAGCAGCATGTGAAACTGTTCATTTTTACATAGTACCTTCAACCTGACTATTCCAACTTGTCTATTTTGACAGAACCAAATCAAAATGGTTTGTAAAAATATTAAGATGTAAAAAAATTACAATTGCTTTCCAAGAGTCAAAGGCAACAACTTTCTTGAAGAACCTTACTCAAATTTTACCCTATCACAATTACTAGGGACTTTGACTTTATTTATTTCTGCATTGTTGGAGCTTTTTATGAGCTTATATAGCTTTTATTATTTAAAAAACAATACAGGGTGGGGCAAGAGTAGGTTTACAGTTGTAACACAAATAAATAATACAATAATGAATAAATAATAATCCAAGAATAAATTCTGTTTCATGTATTCACAACTGTAAACCCACTTTTGCCTCACTCTGTGCTTATTATTAAAAGTCTATGGACTAGATTTATATCTTGTTATGGGCTGAACTATGTTCCTCCAATATTTATACATTGAAGACATAACCTCCAGTACCTCAGGATGTGACTGTATTTGGACATAGGATCTTTAAAGAGATACTAAATTAAAATGAGGTCATTAGTGTGAACCCTAATCCAAGACACACACGGAGGGAAGACCAGGTGAAGAGACAGGAAAAAGACTGCCATCTACAAGAGCAGAGAGGCTTAAAATAAAAACAACCCTGACAGCAACTTGATCTTGGATCTAGCCCTCAGAGTTTTGACAAAATAAATTTCTGTTTAAGCCACTCAGTCTGTGACACTTTGTTATGGCAGCCCTAGCAAACCAATACACTTCAATATTAGTTCTATATCCCCAGAAACATTATAAAGGAGCTTTGAATATTAATTTATTCATTAATTCATGCAATATATTTTTGTTGAGCAACTACTATGTCCCTAGGGAATGCACTAGGAACTGCAAATACAGCAGTGAAGTGACAAAGTTCCTGTTCTCATGGAGATTACATATGAGTAGGAGAAGAAAAATAAAATTTAATATGTGGAATATAATGTGTATATTTGGTTGAACTACATGTGAAATTGTTTACCATTTTTGACCTACAAAAATCATATCTTTTTCCTGTTTAACGTATTACTGAGGTGGTATGAGCACTGTTCAGAATTGAATTATGGAGTTTCTATGAAGCTTGAAGCAGAGAATAAGACCTCATTGTGGAACCCAAATAGTTTTCCTTCTACCGGATACTCTTAACCAAAAATGGTTTGCATGATCTTTTTGCCTACGAAATCAGAGGTATCTATCCTCTAGATCAGGGGTGGGAAACGTCCAGCCTGAGAGCCGTATAGAGCCCTTGAAATCATTTGGTCTGACCCTGCCAAGGCAACCAAAGGTGGGACTCAGAATTCAATAAATCTAGGAGCTTTTTTCATAGCTAAGTTTTAAGCTGATAATTTTGTATGGCCTGCGAATGATGTTACAAATATCCAAATGGCCCTTGGCAGAATAAAAGGCTCTCTACCCTTGCTCTACATGTTCACAAATATTCAGAAGCCAAATTTAATTATGAATCAAAAGTGCATGCAAATGACTCCTGTAACTACAAGAGAATCTGTATCTTTGGAAATGTATAGTAAAAGAGGTGAAACTAAATTCTCAGAAAATGAGGAAACCATTTAGAAAGACTAATAATTCATTCTTAGGTGAGTAAGCAGAGTAAATTATAACTCTTGGTCATTTGTGGTTGTCTATCTGATGGTCCCTAAATTCTACTTCTGCTTTTCCCTTATGTTATATTTATCTAAATATCATCTTGTCTCTCATCCCAGGAGTAGGAGTTGACTATGGGGTAAGGCTTGGAAAATGGGGTGAAGATGTCTCTTCATAAATTATTTGGTGGTAGTGATAATAAATCTGAAAACCAAATGGTTTGTTTTTTTAGGCTACGTCAGAATGGTAGTGTCAACATACCTTGTAGTCATGCAGATGTTCTATCAATTGAATTTAGAGAAACATTCATGTATCTGTTAAATTTTTTCAGTGTATCTAGCAAATTACTGCCTTCAAAATTATATTCAAAATGACAGAATATTCAAAAAGAAATTGGCAGCAGCCTTGGCCTACATTAACCTTTAACTTTGTCTCACTGGACTGAATTTCTTAATTATTCTTCAGGCCCATGAAATTTTGTGTTTATTTACCTCATGATGTTTATAAGAGGAGATATAGGCTTCTTCCCCTTTTCCTTATTTTATAATTAGGATTTATAGTTTGGTAGATGTGTTATATAATATGCTTAATCTTAGAGAGGATACATGAGGACCCAAGTAATATTATTGGTCCCAAGGCACTGAAAAATCCTAATTCCATTTTAACATTTCCTTATTTCTCAAGTGGTTGTGGGTCACAAAATACCAAGATTTCACTTGAGGAAGATACAAAATAGACTGTTGAAGACATGACTGTAAGCATGAATGTTGTATTTTCAGACTTGCTTCTTCCATCTTTCCTAAGAGTGCCCCATCCTTTGTTACAGCATGTCGGTTATGAGAAAGGATTGTGGGACATAAAATATGGACACAGGAAAAGTAGTTTCACTTTTGTCAAAAGGTATACCCTAGCTAGGCTTGAGGTGTTACATTATTTCCTTGAAGCCAGAAGACATAAAAAGGCTAACTTTTGAAAAGAGATAGGCTTATTTCCCTCTCATCTTTTTTGTCCCAAAGCATCATGCAAGACATGCTCAGGATGGGAAGAAGCTGCTTCCACACACACAGGTCAGTGATCCCTTTTCATTCACTCTCCTTTTTTTTGGATAGCTTTCTTTCCCTATATCTATATACTCTATGACCGTGATTAATTACATAAGTTGTGAGGCCCAGTACAAAATAAAAATGTGGGGCTCCTTGATTAAAAATTATTAAGAATTTCAAGGTGGCAAAAGCAGAGCATTAAACCAAGCATGAGATCTTTCTAAGCACGGGGCCCTGTGTGAATGCACAGGTGGCATGTCCGAGAGCTATGTCTACCACTCATTCATTAGCTCCACCCATTCATTAGCTCCTCCATTACACCAACTCATTTATTGCCTGAATGGTCTTAGATATCTGGGAGAGTTAAGCACATATCCAGGCCTAAAGTAGTTGCTTCAACAACTGATAGCAATGGTTGTAATTTTCATTTCTTGGAGAAAAGGCCCTTGCACAATGGAGTTTAGGACTCTTCTGGTGTTTGTTATTGGGTTCATATGGCTAGGGGCTAAGACAGTGAGGCATGTGGTGCTGGAGGTGGGCCTTTATTGGACAGTCCAAGATGTAGTTCAAGGTGCTTGCAGCACCAAAAGTCTGTTTGGGGGCAACTTAGCGTTCTCTGCTCTCTTTTTCTATACATTCCCTACTTCTTTATTTTAGCTTCTCAAATTCTGTTTAATATGAGGTAAAGTTGCGTCATCTGTGCACATTTAATATTCATAGACACTAAAAAATAATTTTAGTTAAATTACTGTTTACATTGTTAATATTAAAAAGAGTGATAAAACCTACTGGGTGGTAGAGTTTTTTCCTTTGAATGTTTCTTCAGGAAATCCTTTGGAGAAGGTACTTCAATTTTTGGTGGTCCCATAGTTTTCATTGCAGTTTTAAATTTTTGCATGTCCTCTTTTACAGCTGTCTTAAAGGTTGATATGTACCTAAAATGAAAAGAAGTTGCAGCATTTATATTTCTAGTAAAAATTATTTAAAGTTTAAAATAGGATATACATTTCTAATTTATGTTAAGTCTATATTCATTGGGAGGTAGCCATAATTACCTAAGCCCCGTCTTTAGGCTTAGGCAAGCTAGAGGGAAGCTTTGCCCCAAGAAAGAGGTGCTAGGGTAAAGATATTCATAGTACTTCCTTATTATTCTTTGAAAATCAAAGCACCAGTAGTGATTTCACATCTCTCTCGCTCTCCCCATCCCCTCAACCCCCTCATTTTTCTGATCAGTCTAACTAGAGGTTTATTAAATTTATTGCTCTCCTCAAAGAACCAGCTTTTCATTGATTTTTTCTAATGTTTAATCTACATTTCAATGATTTCTGCACTGATCTTTACTATTTCTCCTTATTTTGGGTTTAATTTGCTTTTCTTTTTAAAGTTTTTTAAGGTGCAAGTTTAGATATTTGACTTTAAACCTTTATACTTCCCTATACAAGTATTTAAAGCTATAACATTCCCTCTCTGCAAAGTTTTATAGCTGTAGCCCACAAATTTTGATATGCAATGCTTTCATTTTTTTAAGCTCAAAATACCTTTTTAATTCCTTTTGAACATCATCTTTGACTTAGGAGCTTGTTTAGATATTTTGTTTGGTTCTCAAATATTTGGGGATGTTTCAGGTATCTTACTGATTTCTAATTATTTTCTATTGTGGTCTATCTTTGCAAATTTTATATACACTCATAAAGAAAGTGTACTTTGCTGTTGTTGGCTGGAGTGTTCTGTAAATGACAATTAGATCAAACTGGTTGGTAGTGTTTTTAAGTGTTTTTATTAATTACTGAAATCTCTGACTACAATTGTGGATTTGTCTGTTTCTTTTAGTTCTATTAGTTTTTGCTTTGTATATTTTTGACACTGGTAGTAGGTGCATATTACTTAGGATTAGCATATCTTCTTGAAAAAGTGACCACTTCATCATTATAAAATAATGCTTTTTAAATCTGTAAAAATTTTATATTCTAAAATCTCCTGATATGAGTTTAACCACTCCAGCATTCCTTTGATTTGTGGTGCCATAGTATTTTTTCATTTTTCAACTTTTTACTTATTTGTGTCTTTATTTTTTTTAAAGTTTTTTTGTTTGCTTTTTTATAGAGAGAGCAAATAATTTTTATCCTTTCTAACAATCTCTTACATGGCATGTTTAGACCATTCACATTTAATGTGATTTTTTAAATGTTCACCTTTAAATTTTCCACCTTGCTGTTTGTTTTCTACATATCACATTGTTCATTCTTCTTTTTTAAATATCCTGCCTTATTTTTGTTTTTGTTTGGATTTTTTCTTTTGTGGAAGTTCTAACGTTTACAGTGTACATGTTCAACTTATCACAGCCTACATTCAAATAATATTATAACACTTCGCATGTGGTATAAGAAACTTACAAAAGAATACTTTCATTTACCCTTTCTCAATCTTTGTCCTAATGTTGTAAGATATTTTACTTCTATATGTGTTATAAAACCCATAATTATTGTGATGATTTTCCTTCTAAGAAGCGGATTAATCATATTTTAAAGACATTTTAAAAGGAAATAATATTTGCATATATATTTCCCATTTTCAGTCTTATTTCATTGCGTAAATTCAAATTTCCAACTCATACCCTTTCTTGTGCATGAAAGACATTTTATTAACTTCCTCCCTTTTGGCTACTTTTAAGCTTTTTTTTCTTTGTTATTGGTTTTAAGAAATTTGATTGTAATGTCCTTGGTATGATAGTGTTCTTCCTCTCCTTTTCTTTCTTCTCCTCCTCCTTCGTCATTGTGATTCTTGGATTTAGGGATTTCATTAAATTTCCCCAAATTTTACCATTACTCAAATATTTCTTCTGTTTACCCATCTCTCTCCTCTCTTTCTGGGACTCTAATTACACTTATGTTAGACGGCTTGATGGTCTTTATAGCTTACTGATTCTGCTTTCTTTTTCCATTTTTTTCTCTGTTTCATTTTGTATTGTTCTAGTACTATGTCTTCACATTCAATAATATTTTTTTCTTCAGTGTCTTGGCTGCTGTTAATCACATCAGTATCAGATTTTCATTTTAGACATTCTTTAGCTCTGTACGTTAGATTTGGGTCTTTTTAAAAAAATCTTTCCATTTCTCTCTGTATTTTGCTCATGTTTTCCTCCTCTACTTTTCTGAACACATGGAAAATATTTAAAAGAGTGGTTGTCATATCCTAGTCTATTAATTCTCTCATTGATGCCGATTATTTGCCTGCTTGTATTGACTGATTTTCCTCTTCGTTATGCATTGCACTTCTGGGTCCAGAAGAGCTTTAGTCTAGTTCTAATTTGGTTCCACTACTGAAGCAATATACTTCTGAGCGCACTACTCAATGCCCTGTGTCTTAGGTGTTTCCACTCTGCCTGGTGGGAATATGAACTTTATTTGGCTCTGCTGCATTCTGTTGGTTATCTCTCTGGCCTCAGTAGTTTTATCACACCATATTACTAACCACCAAAGACTTCAGGGAAATCCCCCTGCATATTTTTTTCTCTCTCTCTCTCTCCAGTACTCCGAGAATTCACTCCAGTGCTGTGAATTCTACATGCCTTGTCTTGACCTTCCTGAACCCTAAACTCTGTGCCCTTAACTTGGGGAAACTGCTAGGTTTTGTTTGAATCCCTCTTCCCTGGGCTTTGGCCTATAAATTCTCTCCAGAGAATATGTAGGGGCAACGTCTGAAAACCATTGTTTTATATTTTTTGCTGTCGTTTTAGTTATTGAAGATGAGAGGATAAATTCCATCCTTGATTGTAGGCAGAAGTTCAGCTAAACCACTTTTAACAACGTGTATTCTCTTCATACTTACGTGGGTGAGTTTGTTTGAAGAAACATGAAATTGTTTCTTGCTTTTAGGGGCCTTTTGTCAATCTTGAGCTCAATGGCTAGAAATCAGTTATGGTTCACATTGAATGAGCTCATTAGATACCTTCAGGTTCAATACAAACCTGTGCCTTAAAATTCCCACGGAAGTTGGAATTAGCAGGTATGATCTTTTGATTAATAAAATAGTCCCTTGGGGTAAAAATGACGTGTGTATGCTTTCACCACTTTTTAATTTGTCATCTTGTGATTCAATACATTATTTTGTGTGAGCTCAAAGTTTACTCATTTTTTATAGAAAACAAGATATTCTATTCTATATGAATGACACTTTTTATTTTTCTAAATTATAAAAATAAAAACTAGATGAAACTAATATAATGTCAATTATATCTCAATTTCAAAAATGAATAAAAGTCTAGGTTCCTTCATCCACATGTCTGAAGGAAAAGTGCCTTCTCTCATTATCCCTTTCGTACTAGTTTCCCAGGCCTTCAATTCTTCTGCATTCTTTAGATGATTCTATTAATTATAGCACAGCTTAAGTCGTGTGTTTGCTTTTCCTGGTGATTTTGCAATCTATATGAACTGTGAGGTTTATGTAAAGAATGAATATATACAAGCATGAGAAGAGCACTTGGGTAAAAAGAGATGAAGTGTTATTATTGTGTAAGTCTGCAGAGATTGGATAGCCAGATTAAAAAACATGAATAATGACTTCTAGCACTAAAAGCAATGACACTGGAATAGTCCTGACTTTCTTTGAATATCAGTTCATTTAAAAGGCTTACTGCTTTCCCCAATTCAATTACTGACTACAATTAGTCAGCAGAGTAGGTAAGAACCTCAGGAGAAAATGACAGTCATCTAAAATTTCATAATAGTCAAGATTGCTTAGCAAACTAGCAAACTCAGATACATAACCAGACTTTAAACAAGGAGATGTTACAAAATTTCAGAAAATATAGATATAGCAGTATGAAAACTGAATAAAATGGAAGGTAGTTCAAGAAGAATGAGAAGCTCTGAAAATAAAATTCTGTCTCCATGTCACAATTATCCCAATGAAAACCAGAAAGGCATAAAAAACAACAATAAACTACTGGGTGATTATGACATTAAATATCTCTGTTTTCAAAAAGCGTGCATCCAGAAACTCCATACTGGTGAGCCTGATGTTAATTTCAAAGAGCTAAAAATCTGTAGAGCAGCAATGACTGCATGAGCCACTTGGAGTTTCAGGTCACTAAAATTAAGATCTTTTTTGAAAAATATAAGGTTATTGGACTCATAAGTCAGGAATACCTTAGACATAATATACATCTTGATGTTAGTAAAGCCTCTTATTAAATCCTTATTGATAAGGTAGAGAAATATGAACTGATTAATGGGTGCATTTGGATGACTGACTGAATCCTCAAAAACATTATTGCTGTCAGTCTAGAAAGAAATACCTAGTAGCCTACTAAAGTGCAAAGTACTTGCCTTGTCACTGACTGATGGATATATAAAAGACATTAGATCTGCAAATGACACAAAGAGAGTATATGATTCAAAATTCAAAACTGTCTCCATATATTAATAAGTTTAGATTAAAAAAGAATCAGCTATGCAATTATAGGATGGGGAGACCAAACTTAGTCATAATTTATGTGGGAATTTCAATGTGAGACAATGGTAAGACATGACTGTCATAGTGCTAATGGATGCATAAATAAAAGTATTGTGTATCAAGGAAAGTAGATCATAGTTTGACATGCAGACCATATCAGGAATATTACTTTCAATAAAAGGGAGAGAATGTTTGGAGATATTAAGCAACTGGAGTTATCAATAGAAGGGTCACAAATTTGGTGAAGATCCTAGAAACCATCTCACATATCATGAGGAACTGAAATTTTGAAAACTGATTCCTGGTTTCTCATTGACTTTAATACTTTTATATCTTAAGTCCCAGCTTATAGTTCAACTGCAAAAAGTTGCCCTTCACCCCACTTTGGTTATATATATCTATTTGGTAACATATATCTATCTCATTTAGTATCTGCATCTCTCACTGGGGTTTTCAATAATATATGGTTTTATTGTTAATCAATATTTTAATGTTTATATTTTTGTTCACCAAGGAAACTAACCTCTGATGTATCACAGAACAGTCAATTTTTGATTTCTCCAAGGAATTCAACTCTTTATGAAAGCTACACAATCATCTTACCAGTCTTGCAAATTGCTGCAGAGAGCTTTTTAAAAGCTGGGTTTATAACTCAGTAATACAAATAAGCCTCATAGCTTATTACATTTTTAAAATTTATCTTTATTGCTGAAAGTATTACAGATGTCCCATCCCCCC